CTGATCAGCTGTTTGTCGGCTCAGCGCGGCAGCCATGTAAATGTAAATGAAGCCGCGATAATTTAAATTGCGGCTTCATTTACCTTTGCCTACAACCCTAATCTACATGCCACTGCCGACAGAGGCATGTAGTGTAGACACAGCCTTGGTGCCTTCCCCTTTCTTCTTCTCCTGACCTTCCCCTCCCCTCCGCAAAAGTCCCTTCCCCTTCCCCAGGGCCAGCTCTAGGCTTTTTGCTGCCCTAAGCAAAACATTTTTGGCTCCCCCCTCCCTCTTTTTTTGTTGCCTTTTACACGTTTGCATTTTGCAATGGGGTTTTTGGGGTTTTGTTTTTGTCCCGGCATTTTAGCCCTATAAATAGCATTTTCATTCGTTTTTTTTCCATAAAGGCAAAGGTGCTTCAAGTGACCTCCCCCTTTCAGTTGCTGCTGGGTTACAGCAGCCTTTTCCCTGCCCTATCCAGCCCCTACCTGTGGACAAGCACCCTTCACTCATGACCCACAGGGGGAAGCAGGGTGCAGAACCAGAGGGGAGCAGGGAACAGTGGGGTGGTGCGGGGAACAGGAGGCACAGAGCCAGAGGGATGCAGGAATCGGGGGGAGCAGAGTGTGGTGGAGGCACAGGGAATGGGATGCGGGGAACAGGAGGGGCAGAGGGATCAGGGTCTAGGGGCAGTGCAGGGAATGGGCAGCACAGAGCTCAGGGGGCAGGGATATCTGCGTGTCATTTTTGCAGACATGGATACCAATTTTGTATCTGCACGGGGCTTTATTGATATGTTCTGGTAGGCATTAGCCATTCTGATGCTATCTGCCTTCATGCCTTCTCAAAGTGAAACATGACCAGTGAAACAAGTAATTGTAGAAAGAATTGTAGCCATTTATTTTGTAATTTTCTCTTGTTCCTAGTCTTGTCCTTCAGCAATTTTAACTTAAACAGATTTTATGGTAATTTAGATATTTGGGGGGAGAGGAAGGTCTTTGTCTCCTTGCAAAGTGCAGATCTCTGCCAGAGGTGAAACTTATAACTATTCTTTTTAAAGGTTTGGGAAGGTCTCAATGTGGTTAAAACTGGTAGAGTTATGCTGGGAGAGACCAACCCTGCAGATTCTAAGCCTGGTACAATCCGTGGTGACTTCTGCATTCAAGTGGGAAGGTTGGTGTTGAAATTATATAAAATTTCTCAATGTTTTTTCCAGGGTTAACGGGGGTGTGGGGGCTCTGTGTGTGTGTGTGTGTGTACACGTACGTGTATATAAAAAAAATTTTGGTTAACAGCATTTGGATAAAACACAAACAAAAGTCTTTAGCGCAGAGAGGGGCACCTGGTGACTGTGCACTCAAGGAAAGAAATGAGTATGTTCTCACCTATACATAGAGAAAATAAGTCCCTGATGCAGCAAGCTATTTTAATATGGCTATGCCTTGCTTCCTTAGTGATCCAATTTGGTGCAGGATGAACTTCATGTTGCCTTATGTTTGCATGCTGCCTTTCTGGAGAATTTACATAGATATAGTATCAGAGGGGTAGCCGTGTTAGTCTGAATCTGCAAAAGCAGCGAGTCGTCCTGTGGCACCTTATAGACTAACTGCGGTGTAGGAGCATAAGCTTGTGTGGGCAAAGACCCATATCTGACAAAGTGGGTCTTTGCCCACGCAAGCTTATGCTCTTACACTGCAGTTAGTCTATAAGGTGCCACAGGACTCCTCGCCGCTTTTACATAGACATATAAAACAGATTCAATCTAGGATTTTATTTGTTGGACACAATCCACCAAGCATGTTGCTTATACAGTGCCCTTCGAGTTTTTGAACTATACTTCAGAACTTAATGAAAAACGATGATCAGATCATGGTGATGCTGTTAAGCTTGTAGCATTTAGTAGAACTATAGATGTGTTGGACCCTGATCCTATCTGTTAAGTCAGCGTATATCAGCGATGGGCAGCCTAGGCTAATGAACGGGCTTCTTAAGTGGCCCTCCATCTGAGGGCATTGCAAGACTTCTGTAACCAGGATGGTCTCCCAGGCTGAAGTAGTTCTGCTAATTGTGTTAGTCTACCTGGAACATGGGTGGGCAGTAACTTTTGATGGAGGGTGGGGGGCGGCAGTGGCACAGGGCAGGTGCATTTCAAGAATTTGGAAAGTAGTTGAGGGCCATGATATTAATGGAGGAGGTGCAGGGTCTGGGATGGAGGTTTGGGTGAATGAGGCAGTTGTGACCTGGGGCACTGAAGTGGAATACAGGGGGTTGGATCGTGACCTAGGGAAGTGAACAGGAAGAAGTGCAGGGATTTTGGTTGTGAGCTAGGACAGAGGGGACTGATCTGGGGCAGGATATACGGGTACAGGAGGGGAGCAGAGGATTTGGGTATTTGGAGTAGGTAGAGGGTGGGGGAAGGGCGGGACTAGAGTACCAGAGACAGGATCTGGCCAGGAGACTTACCAGCCAGCAGTCATGTTCCTGAATCAACCTCTCTGCCCCTGCACAGGCTGCAGCCATGTGCTCTGGAGCCCCTTGTGCTTCATGGCTGCCTATTATTGAAACAGGCAGCTCCCATTGGCCAGTTTATCGCCAGAAACTGGCCAATGTGATTATGCTGAGGGTACTCCAGTTTTTAAAGAGAAACCACTTGGCAGCTGTTTGAGCAACATGCACATGGGGCAAGGCAAACAGAATCCTACCTAGGGCTCCCCGCAGTGTCCATGGGTCAGAGGTGGTGGCTTTGCCCAGGCCTGACCTAAAAGTTTCAGGATGTGCCAAATGAACCATAGCAGTGCTTCAAATGCAGAACTAATAGATGACTGTTCATATGGATAAGTTACTGTGTTTCTAAAGCTATTGAAACCTTATTTGAAATCTTGTCATTGGCTTCCTTCACAGGAACATTATTCATGGCAGTGACTCCGTAGAAAGTGCTGAGAAGGAAATTAACCTGTGGTTCCAGCCCACAGAGCTTGTTGACTTCAAATCTTGTGCTCATGACTGGATCTATGAGTAAAATAAGTCTCCAGAATGAATTGTGCCTTACCACAACATCTCATTCCAGCAGCTATAGATCTGGGAGCAACTCTGGTCACAAATTTCACAGCAGTATGTAAAAGTATCAAATAAATAGATTACAGAAACTGTGTAGTCTGTATATTACAAAACACTTAAGTATGCATGGAGTAGTATAGAGCTTTGCTTAGTGGGACAAAATGAAACTTCCTAAAGCCACTCTAAGGAGACTTTGGAAACATTTTAAAAATGAAACCAAATCCGTGAACAATACTTAATATATGCTTCTGCTTATAGTGCTGAGAACTGGTATGTGATTAAAACAGCAAATTTATGGGAAAAGCTCAGATGGTCCTAGAACTGCCCCCTATTCCACAGACTTTACAGCAGGGCTACTCAACTTCGGAAGCCCTGGAGGCCACAATAATACTCACAAGCACATGGGGAGGGACACAATTTAAGTTGCATATACAGGCAGTCCCCGGGTTACTTGGGAAAAGTCAACAGAAAATTCTCCACTAGCAAAATTTTATTTTGCCATTTGAAAAATAGTGAAACGATTCTCACTATTTTTTTCCTTTTCCATGTTTATCCTGAATAAATTGTAGTTAAACTCTTTAAAGGGTTTAGTTAGCATGTGAGTGTAACTATATAGGATGGTGATTGTGTCAAACTTATAATTCCATTTTTATTGCTTCTTAAACAAGCACTCATCCTGTATCAGGGACATTTTTACGTATTTTCAAAAGTGAGTGATCAAGACTGCCATCATGGTCTAAATTCCAAAGTCCTGCATTATAGCCCTTGATAAACTCCTTTATCCCCATAGCTCTTCTCTTCCTGTAAAGTACCACAGGAAAGATGAGTTTAATAGTGTTTGAAAGCTATTGCATTTGGACTCTGATGGACTAACCATTCTAAATAGATGGTCAAGTAACTTTCAGGCCCCAGCAAATATGCGTAGATGGCAGCAAGTAGGACCACATTTGAGGGCATATGTTAAGTGTTCGGTACCCAAATGTAATACAGGCAGTCCCCGGGTTACGTACAAGATAGGGACTGTAGGTTTGTTCTTAAGTTGAATCTGTATGTAAGTCGGAACTGGCTTTTAGAAAGCCCTCCGCGGCTTTGCTCTGCGTCTTCCTGGTCTGCAGACCAGGGAGACACAGAGAAAACCCCAGAGTACACGGGCGGCAGGACCGCGAGGTCCTGCAGTCCATGTACTTGGGGGCAGCCCCGTTCGTAACTGCGGATCCGACATAAGTCGGATCTGCATAAGTCGGGGACTGCCTGTATATGCAAATAGCTTTCACACTGATGGGCATTAATACAAAGATTAGGGCAAGACTATACAACATGCAAGCCCCATTTAAGTCAGTTCTGCTGATATTAATAAAATGCAACATTTACCTGATTTCCACCCATAAGACAGCACTTTTAATGAGCAATGACAGTAAAATTCCTGAGCTAACACACATCAACAGAAGACTTATATTAAATTGCCATTGGAATGTTCCTAGTAGAGGCCATGTTCAAAGGATCCCACCTGTAGACCGCATGTTGAGTAGCTTTGCTTTACAGCTTGTGGCTACACTGAAAGAAGGTTACAAAAGCATATAAGTTCTGCCTCATGGGAGAAAAGCATGTGTCTTTGACTAGCTGACTCACCAGAATCTTTGGTTAGAGTTCCTTTAGGTACTCCTCTTTCTTCACACTCCTGCTCTACTTGGGTCAGTCTGTTTAAACAGCAGTATTATTAGGGTCCACCTGCCACATCACAGGGCTCCTATTCCACAGGTACCTTAAAGCAACTTTTGAAATTAGATCTCCAAGACTGGTAAATAATTCAGTTCATAAACTCGCTCTACTAAAGAGGATGTAAAGTGAAAATGTACCAGGGCAGCAAGATTAGTAGGGACACCTGGTATGACTAATGGTGCTTTCTGAAACTGCTAGTGGTATATAGCTGTTTTGCAGCAAATAATGGGAACATCTGACAATCTCTTGACCCACACACTGCATCTGTTTGTAATGTGACTGAGGAAAGCTGCTCACGAGCTTAAGGTGAGCTGTAAATGAAAATATTAGTGAACAGGATGAGCAGACAGGATCATAAGATATCCTATATCAGAATGGCCAAGATACACCCCTTTCCTTGAGAAGCTGATCCAGTACAGTGTTGGCAAAGTTACACACCACATTTTTTTTAAAAGCTCATTCTTAGATATAGGCTGGATGATAGAGCATTTTGGATTACCTATGGATTGAATAGTTGCTACAGTAGGAATCATACCTATAAGACTTCAAAGCAACAGCTGTGTTCACTATAATATGAAGCTTTCATACATTCAGGGCTCGACAAATACTCCAGTCTACTTGCCCGGGGCGAGTAGATTGAAACCCAGAAGAGCATGGGGCTTGCCATAGTTTGGCGAGCCCTGCATATGTCAGTTCTAGATCTCACAGCACTTTAAGTTCATAATTCTCAGGTTGATACAGTGCATCTGTTCATAAGACCATACTGTCTTCTGCAGGGGGTTTCAGAACAGTTATGACATGTTAAACTTGTCCTGATCTTCTGCTCCAATGAAATCCTTTAAGACAGCCTCAAGGAAGGCCAACATGGCCTACTACTCTAAATCACTTAAACCATCCAGCTGAGGCTCTTGGCACTTCAGCTCAGTAACTGATTTTACAGGAGAGATTTGTAAACAATGTGGCTCAAACTATCACACCATTTGATGGGTTAGATAGCCATTGTCCCTTGTTCTGCAACTAAATACCTAAATTTGGTAGTACTCTAGCAGAACATCTCAATTTTAAAACTAAAAATTAAATGGTCTGATTGCGTTTAATGAATAATCTAGTCACTATAGTAACTTGTAGTGAATTCAGTTTTTTAGTCTCCCTCTATTTAGAGGTTCATGTACTAGTGACTGCCATGTGTAGCTTTCAGAGGTAACAGTTCTTGAGTTGCTTGGGGCAGGTTACAGTTATTTAACTGTATATAACTTATATAAGCCCAGTTGTTACAGGCTACCTGCATAGCCACACAATGCTCCACGAGTTTATGCTCCCTTCTACACAACAACTGTGAAGACACGTAGAGCTTTTCTCTTTCAGTGAAAGCTGGATTTTTTTTTTGGTTGAACAGTTCTGGTTTTAACAGTTCCACACCTTTGCACTTAAATCATCCCTCACCATTTGCAGTGTTCCTGGCACCACACCACAACTGGCAACATTTATGAATACTGGGGCCCACGGCTCAGCTCCCAAACATCGCAGCAGCCTGGCAACCCCAGTGAGCACACAGAACCGTGACTAGCAATTCCATAAATCATGAGGATCTCCTGTTCTGCTGTTTGTTCCTATGCCCGTTGGTGAGGTAGTGTCTATACGTGCCATTGCAAATGCAGACCTGTCTTATATAGTACCACTCCCACCAGGTTAAGTTGCACTTGTAGGACAGGGGTGGGGAATCTCTTGCCCAGGGGCTGGATGTGGCCCCCACAAGACTCAGGAGCACCTGAGCACTGGGGAGCCCACACTGGCACTCCAACCCCCTGCTCCCTCACCATGGGGCTGGAGCATATAAAAAAAATCTAGTAGGTTCTTCCCTCCCCCCCCCCCCCTGGAGTTTTTGTCTCTCTCAGTCGGGCCATGTCAGCGAGGGTCTTTTTGTGTGTGACCTCCGACTGATTTTCCTATGGGTCAGTGGCCCCTGACCCAAAGGATTCCCCACCCTTGCAGTAGGAGAAGCTGGCTGCAATTAAACCTTCTTTGTGTATACTGTATCTTAAAGGAAAAGCGACCCATTTTCATTTCTGTAGAAAAGCAGTTTTCAAAAAGAGACAAAGGTATTTCACATGAGTAGAGCCCTGCAAATCCGTAGCTATCTTGGATGTGGATATTTGCAGCCGCGGATACAAAATTTGTATCTAGTACACTGCAAATTTGTGGATAACAGCTTTGTATCTGCAACTGCAGATATGGATATAGATACGGATGTGAATGCAAATTCTGTATCCACACAGGGCTCTACCCAGGAATATATTTAAAAACAGATTTGATTAACTGATTTCTGTGTTTCAATTTTATTATTTATAATGGGACAAATAAGATGCCACAATGTATCTGAATGTGTATCAATTAAAAAAGTTACCATCCACATGATCTTACTTTAACATTTTTATTTTGTGTAAAAAAAGGCAAATTTAGTGAATTATTTTCATCTTGTACACAAAGTTATAGTTTTAATGCTTTTTCACATCCATGCTGAAAATCTGCAGTCTGGTAAAAATGAAAGTAACATTAATTTCTCCAAAAGCATTTTTCACTTAGTTATATACATTTTGTGAGAAAGTTTTAAACACTCTCTCACTGACCACACAAATTACCAAGAAAATAAAAGATTAAATTTGTACAGATATTGATCTATATATCAAATACATACAGAAATGATGTAAAAACCCTATTCATTTCATCTTGATTCCCGCCCCAATATATTTTCCCAAGGGCAAAAGCTGATTTTTTTTGTTGTATTAATAGCTGTGACCTAATTTTTAAATATGAAACTTAAAAGAAAAATTGAGTTTAATCACAGTTGTTTAATCCCTTCCCAATAAAGGATTGTTACCAAATATATTAGCACCATTGTACAAATATTGATGGGAGAGGGTATTCACATCACAAAAACAATAAAAAAAACAAACAAACACTGAAACCCGTGTTAGTATCCGTAGAACAAGAAATTGATAACTGCTTTAGCTTTCCTTATACACAGCAAGGAAAAGGTTAAGAAGTTGCATTTAAAACAACATGAGATCAAGGTCAGCAGTAAAATTCTGAGCCATAAAAGGGGCAGTTACAATATAAATTTACTTATTTGCACTACCCCTTGGTTATGAAAGGCTTGCTATGCCAAATATTGAAATGAGTATTTGATCCCCAACTTTAGTCAGCAGTAGAGATTTAAGACCTCTAACACATCACCTTAACTTTACCTAAGTAATATGGTTCACAGTAGAATGAAGAAAACTCTTTGAACCATGTTATTAATGTTAGTACAAATACAGTGAAGCCTGTACACCTCTGCGAACAGGTAACCTCTCTGTCTTAAGAGACCATTGATTCTATGAAGACTAGTCTAAGTAAGAATCTGACACATTTTTCTCAGCTTTTACATAAATAAATCTCTCCCAAGCATGTGATTTTAGGCAACTGCTTACATGCTTTGCATAAGACCGGCTTCACTGTACTTGACAGGTCGGTGAAGGATTTAGATATTTGGATTAAGAAAGTGAAATTCCATTCTCAAATATACCTGAAATTCCCATTGGTATATGAGCGTGGAATTCAGCTTGCAGAGAGCAATGTTAGTATTTTAATAACCGTTTTCAAGGAATACTCTAGAGGTTGACAGACCCCAAATGTGACACAAACAATTCTCCATCCCTACCCCTACAACTGCATTTTACTATAAAAAAAATCCAAAGAGTCCCCTTAAAATCTAACCCAAATCAGGGTTATATGGTCTGGATAATTCAAGTTCTGAAGCGGGGCAACAAATATGAACCCATGAATCTGGATTTTTTTTGTCTTCATGATTTCACTTTCTCCCAATGGGCACAATTCCACAACTCCTTTTCACATTAACTCTTATTCACAGAACAGTGGTTCTCCTGACAAATGAGCTATTTGTGTCACAAGGTCTGGTCTACACTAATGCTGTCAATCTAAATTACGCTACTTCAGTTACATAAATTGTAACATAGGTTGACTTATGGCACGCTATGTTGACAGGAGACATTCTTCCGCCAACTTACCTTTCACCTGTCAGGGAGCAGCGTACAGATATTGACAGGAGAGTGCTCTGCCATCTACTTAGCTTATCTTCACCAGACCTCTAAATGGACACCACTGCATCAATTGCAGCAGTGCCAATTTAACCAGTAGATATGGCCTAACTGAAAGCAGATGCATCTCACGCATCCCTTGTGCTCTGTAGGCCAAATTCTGCCAGCCCTGCTCACAATGAGAAGTTATTTATATTATATGCGAGTAATCCCCAGTTACATCAATGCACAAAAGTACTAACCAACCTGAGGAAGCACTGACAGAATTTGACTTTGATAGGTGACAGGAGTGGTACTTGGTATGACTGAGGCTCATTAAAATATCTCTGGTTTTAAGCATATGTCACCCAGATTCCTGAGCTTGCCTGTACATCCCACTGTCCGTCAACTGGGATTGAAAAACTACATTGCAGCCCTTATTTTGGAAGGCTCTGATTTTAAGAAGTTTTTACTTTTTGCTTTGTAAAGAAAGTAAATGAATTGGCGCAATCAGAGGCTGAAGGAAATTAATTTGAAGCCAGTCAACCTTGACAGAGTCCTTTTAACATGGGACTAAAATATCCTTTCCCCCATAACTCACTGAAATCTCACACCTGATAGCCATCTTTTGTTTATATGAGAAAACAGTTGTTAAAAAGGGGTCAATATTACAAAAAATTGACTGGGCGAAGAGAAGGAGAAACAGTTTCCATACATTCCTACATTATACAGGACAAGTTTTACTTCCAGCAGTTACTACAAAACTGTACATCATCATTAACCCCTTTTGCATAGAATGAGGTAAACCTGTGCATATTACTAATGTCTGTACCCAAAGTTAGAGCAATAGTTTAGAAAATAATCAAGTTGCTGGTTTTCATCTTTCTATGCATTTTTTTTAAAAAAGTTCAAACAATAATATACCAAAAAATGGTCTCCTGGGGCTCTGTGGGCTGATATTGTTAAAGCATTTCTTAGGATGAAGGACCAGAGAAGTTAATAATTTTGACTAATTTCTTTTAAGCCCTCTGTACGGGTCAAGAGTCAGAAGATCATTCTACTGCTCTGAAGGGGACCTGCAAAGACCCAGAAGCACTTATAGAACATATGTAGTTTATTCCTGAGAGTTTAGTTAATGAACCTTACTGGTAAAAGCTAAAGCTCTCAATGCCCATTCTTCCAGTCACAACTCTGCAGGGTGGGAAAAAACAGGCTGCTAATAACTCCAAGAATGAAGCCACTGCCAAAATCCACATGGATTTTTAAATGGACAGGAGGGAGAAGAGGATTAAACTATTGAGCATTTATTAAAATTCCTCCAGTTTTGATGTTAGTCACTATAATCTTCTGCAAATTTGTCTAAAAATATCTGTTCAGTTAAAGAGAAAAAAACTTATGAAATGATTAAAAGTGAGACTGGAAGGATTCCAGTCTTCCAGAATGAAAATGAGTCCAATTTACCAAAAAGCAAAGTTTTTTTTTTTTTCAGATCCCAACTCCAGTGTTGCTGTCATAGTACATTTTTGCCTTCAGAGTAAATATTTTTTAGTTCATCTAGTACATCTCTTAGTGGGTGTCCCACATACACAAGTATTTGAAGAGATGGAACGCAGGAATCTAAATTTTTCTGGTGAATAAAAACAGAGAAAACTCCACAGATATCCTCCCCCCTTTCCATCTACCTCTCCTCCTCACTTGTTTAATCATTTGGTTTCATGTAAATTTTCCACAAAAGAATCTGCTGATATTCCAGTTTAACACAGGGCTCTGTAAACTTGAGCACCCCAGGACTAAAGGCCCAATCCAATACCCACTGGGCAATCTAAATGAGTAACCATCTTGAAAAGTTATTACTACACCTCAAGAGACAACCCCTGTGTGGGGTTACTCACACAAGTAAGGTTTGGCAGGGCTGATTTCCTTACATGGTTTCATGCACCAGTGTTAGTATTTCAGTAATTTTCACAATGAAAAACCAGAGGTGTGACTCATACAAGCTCACAGAAGTTCAAAAACTCTCAACTTGTACCAACAAGGTTCATTTGTAATGACAGTTCATTTGTATTTGCAACTATATCCTCCTCAAACAGTTTCCTGCAATCCTGCTAATTAATTTTACCAAAAAATTAGAATTTCAATTTAAGAATGCACAATAAATCTGAATTTGAAAATATTACAAAATTCTTTCAAAAGCTTCAAATACAACACAAAATGTCATTTTTTGTTTAATAAATTGTAAATTTTTTCAGTAAAATAGTTTTCCTGCCCCTCCAAAAAATTCTCCACTGAAGGTTCATCTACAGTTAGCAAAGTGCCCCAAGTACAGCTAGACAACTGTACTATCAAAAAGGGAACAAAAATCAGTCAGTCTTGGAGAAAGGCTCTTTTCCATACAATCACCACCCTGCCCGTCACCTTTCTGAGCTGTCTTATGGTTCTTGTTTGATGTAGTAGCTGGCAGACCCATTGCTTTCCTGATCAGAAGCTCCTTGAAGAAAGTTATACTCCTCTCCATCTAGCAACTCTTCCTTCAGCTGCAGGGATGTCACTAAAAATAAGAGATACAAGTTAAAGATCTAGAAAGAATTTAAACGAATTGTCAAGGTTTCCCTTCAGTTTAACTAAAACAATATAAGTTTCTTCCCATTAATAACTTTAAACTGGCATTAAAAAGAGACTTACATATAGATAATTATTTTTACAAAACAATATATATAGTAAATAAAAACTTTAAACTTGTGGGTTTGAAGTGCAGTTATAATCAGGAAAAGGGCTATAAAATGTATAAATTTGAGTATTTCACAGGGATTCCCTTAGTGAGTCTAGATCCAGTCTGTATCAAAAGATTTTACTCCCAGTTCTGTAAATTTAACGTGGGCCAGGGGAAAAGAACCACCAACCTAACCCATTATCTCCAGGCTACCTAGTCAGAGCTTAGTTGACAAGCTACATTAGACAGAATACATTAAGTTCACACCTCTATAGTTTGTCTGTCTCCACAGTGCTAATAGTGAAGTGGACCAGATATATTAATCACTAATACACATTACAGTGCCTTCCCATCAAACACCTAAAGGCACTTTTTTTCATAAATGACTCCTAATCCCCTTTGTGAGGCAGGCAGATATTAAACCCATTTCACAGATGGGAAGACTGAGGAGAGAGAGAAAGTGTGTCTAAGATCACACTGGAAGCATGTGGTAGAGCTGGAATAGAACCCAGATTTTATGTCTGGTTCTTTGATAGCCTTCTATTGGGACTCAGAAACCCTCACAGGAACAGGTGCTTTCACTTTTCTGACAATAAAAGCACTTTAAATTACACCCTTAGCATCATTTCAAATGATCAAATAATTGAGTTTTGACAAATGGCCCTGAAGTTTAATTTTAGCCTCACTAACTCTATATTAATACCTCTGATTAAGATAATGACTGAAATTGAAAACAGATTACCGACTCTTTAGAACAAATATTAGACAATGATTGAAAACAAAGTAACTGAAATTATGGTAAAAAAAAATTCTATGGCTATGTCTACACTGCAAAAAACAAATCCATTGCAGTGAGTCTCCGAGCCTGGTTCAGACAGACAGACAGACAGCTTGGGCTACCACATTAAAAGTAGAAGTGTAGATTTTTCCCACTTGGGAACAGATTATCTTGTAAACATTAAGATAGGTATTGTTTCCCCATCTTCCAAAACAGATTTAAAAGCTTCCTTTACTACAGATGCATATATATAGCATTTAGAACCAAGTTTACATTATTTTCATTGATAACTGTAAAATTCAAACCTATAATTTCACTCTTTTGCTTCATGCTTTAAATTTTGCTGAGTAGAATTAAGCAGGATTAAAAATATGTACTATTTACAGATCACGGATGCCTAATCATTGATTTACTTTCATGGTCATTTTTGTAAGTGGCGGGCAGGAAAAACTGTTTACAACAGAAGGCTTGAATATATTTTTAATTAATTTTTAAGATCTAGGATACTTTTTTAATCTTCTATTTTGCTATTAAAAAAAAACCCCCACAAAAATAAAAATTGTATCTGAAACTTAAAGAAAAATGATATTTTGGATAGCAGTACCAAACAGTTTGTAAATAACTTCCCAATGAGATTGAGTAAGAAAAGTGATACTTATCAATCAATACATGAGTATATTGAAAAGCAGGAACACTGAAAAGAAAATATGGCAAAGTTTTCATTAAAGGTGCAGTACCCACATCAAAAGGTTAATTAACATAGCCATCAGATTTTGTATCTGATGACCAAATGAATGAGAGACGCATTAAAAAGGTTCAGTAACTGGATAACAAGTTAACAACACATCTTTTCAAATGCAAAAATGTTATGCAGTGAAATCTAAAAATAACCTCCCAAACCTGTTGCTATTTGTAATCCTGCAAATCATTGTATTATACTTTTATTATAGTCCTATATCATCTTCCATGGTTATACACACTCATGTACTAAATAAAAATAAAATTTAAAAATTAAAATATTTAAAGTGGCTAAAAAAGCAGCAGCACATGATATAAACCTACAGAATCAAGCAACCTCATTACCTTGGCTCATGGAAACCTCTTCCCTCCCTACTGTGCCTCAAATTCTAGCTCATTTTTGCTTGTCCCTATGTCATGTCTAATGTACAGCAGGAAAGTTTTCTTTTATTAGTCTGTAGAGGACGATGCACATACAAAGCATGGGTTTTTTTAAATCATACACAACAATAATTAATAGTGAGATGCTGTGCTATTTACTTAGGAAGATACCAGTACACAGAGGTTCAAATTCCTTTTCTACATCTTGAATTTTTTTGATTAAATTTCAATCCTCACCAGTGTTTAAATAATGCTTGTGAGTTTGCCCAGTATCTCAAGTACTCCTGGTGAGTTAGCAGGCTTCACATTTCATCCAGGATCTGTTCAATCAGCAGTAAGATCTTGACAGTTAAATATTTAACAACACTTGATTTTTCCCTGCTAGCAATTCTCCTGAAGCAAAGTTTATCAATACCATGGATTCAAGCTACACCTACATAATGCTACACTTGAATGATAAGCAAAGAGATAAATATTTATCTATAGTTTCTTACTCATTAAGCCATTTAATTGAACATCCAGCTGATGGAAGGTTCTGAGCAGAACAAGACACACAAGGTGCTCCCTATTCTCATAAGCTCAGTGAACTGTTTGTGCAGCGCTCTCAGTACCACATGGGGCCACACACTGATCTCCCTTGTACCAGTGTGGTGTGATGTTACTAAACTGCCCAGCCAGGAAACATGAGAAGAAAAAAGTCCCTGACTTCTGGGGATAACACATGCCCAAAGAAAGTGGTCTGTTTTTGGGAAACAACTTCTTTCCTTGACTGCCTATGTCTTTCTTAACAGAGAGCTGTCTGAAGGCTGCATTTCACTGCTGAAAAGTCACTACTCTTAACATTTCAAAATATAGATGAAAAAAGAAAAGCAGCATGACTCTGCCAGAGAGCAAATGCAATTCTTAAAGAAGCAATTAAATTCTCTAGCCATTACAAGTACTGGAATGAGAGGAGAATGGGATTACTTAATGAATCAGATGTAACTTTTCTGATAGAAAATGAACATTCAGAGCAGACTGGATTTCAGTAATACTCTGTTTGGAAAACAAGGGCCTTATCTTACAGAAGTGGAGTACCTTCTGTTCATTGGGAGCTGAGAGTGTTCAGTTCATTGTACAATCAAACCCTGAATGTAGCTGTGGCCACAATAATCCAGGGAGAAAACTTCCAGTCAGAACACGATCTTAGATCAGCATCCAAAGCCACATTACTGTTTTCACAGCATCTCGTATATGATGATAAATAGCATAACTACACCCTACCAGGTGTCAAGTATAACTTGAGCATCTGATACATCCTATATTTGAAGGGAGACAGTGGTGAGAATCTCATAGATCTTTTTGTATCTTTAACTTCTTTCATCTAGGATTGCCCTACACAAGATTTACATAAGACTCAGATGTTTTAATCTGCCAGACCACTATTATTAATAAATGAATTCTTAAAGAGTTTTCCCTATTCACTGTTTCAGATGGACAAACTTCATTTTGTCAATATTCAAATAAACCAGAGGTTTTGGAGCAAGCATAGGGGGGCAAAGCAGGTTTGTTTTAAAAGGGTAAACCCCTTCAAATTTATTTCTTACCATACTCAACAATGGGCTGTATAACACTGAAAGGACTCAATTATGCTTAAAGTTAAAAGACCTCTTTTTCCAAACAGCTGTTCTCTTATGCATGGGCTATATGCAAAAATAAAATCTCTCGTTTTAACAATGATATTGTTACATATTACAATTCAATAAATTAATTGAAAGTATCTGCATACTTTCCAGTATGGTAGTTACATCACAGTCTCTATATAGGCTACGTCTACACTGGCATGATTTTCCGAAAATGCTTTTAACAGAAAAGTTTTCTGTTAAAAGCATTTTCAGAAAAGCGCATCTAGATTGGCAGGACGCTTTTCTGCAAAAGCACTTTTTGCGGAAAAGTGTCCATGGCCAGTCTAGACGCGGTTTTGCGCAAAAAAGCCCCGATCGCCATTTTCACGATCGGGGCTTTTTTTGCGGAAATCAAATCTCTGCTGTCTACACTGGCCCTTTTGCGCAAAAGTCTTTCAGAAAAAGACTTTTGCCCGAATGGGAGCAGCATAGTTTTTCCGGAAAAGCACTGATGATTTTACATGAGATCGTCAGTGCTTTTCTGGAAATTCAAGCGGCTAGTGTAGACAGCTGGCAAGTTTTTCTGCAAAATCAAATGATTTTGCGGAAAAACTTGCCAGTCTAGACACAGCCTATAAGTCTCAGTAACCTAGAATCCATACATTTGCCCTGGGATGAAGTTCTGAAGCAGTGGGAACCATTGCTCCCTCATGATGCTTTCAGTGAAGTGAACTATTATGGACGGGTGGAAGTAACTATTCCTCTTAAAGAAAGAAAAAAGTAAGTAAGTAATTCAGCATATTTCATGCCAGACCATGTTTTGTGTCCCACCCTGTTCAGCATTTCCCTCTGCAGTAACCGAGAGACTTTAATTGGTGCTAATTACCTGTTTTGAGGCTGGGACTGAACTCTCAGCTATTCTTGGGAGGCTGGAAGGCCTCCGGGGCTGTCTGTGCTGGAAGGGTTTGATATGGAGGAGGAATCAACTCTTCATCACAAGAGAAGCTCCTCCACACCCCACCTGTCATGAGTAGGCTTGACAAACTGACAGGCTTCTTCCCAACTGGTATCTTCCTCTCTAAACATCAAGTCAAACTAAAGTAAACCCTTGGATCAGAATGAATTAGGTAATGCAGAACGATCACTGAGACACATCTGCCTCATATTCAGCTGTGGATTCTGCAAAATAGGGTCTTGTGTGAAATGGCAAAGTTCACTCATTTGGGGGGAATGTTAAAAATCTCAATCAACTTGGAACAACTTTTTCTTCTTTTCATCACTAAAGAAAATGTCCCAGCCCAAATCCCTTTGATAATCTACTACTAAAATAGGAGCAC